TCGTTTCAATGTTCCTACTTACTTCCACATCAGTCGCCCTTCCATTAACCACATCAGCATGTTTCGGACTCTTAAACAGATTAGCTTTTGGTATAATCGTTGCTCTAGAGGTTTTAACGTAGACAACTGAACTGAAAATGGATTAAAGGCATTGAAGATTACTTGGTTTGTCATCCCATTGATCCCTACCTGTTGAGCTTTTCTCCACTATCGGGAGTCAACGTTTTGGAGCTGGACGTTGGGCTTAAGCTGAGGGAATTGCTTCTGAATTTTCTTAATCTTTCATTGGCTGATACTAGGGGCGTTTCGTTGCGAACACTGTCCTCGGCTTCGGACAGCACAATAAAGCCCTGAGGTGAGCTACAAGGAATGGATTAAACAATTTTAAAGATTTCGCTTTATTCACATACTCAAACTGTGCCTTGTGTTTGTCTTTGGCTGGCGAAGGACTATCGTCTATAACTATAACTGTTCCATTAAGTTTTCTGCGACTGTTTTCGAGCCTCTTAATTGCGGTTTCCAAAGGATACTTTGTGAATTGCTCTTTAGGGCTGATTGTTCCACCTGCACACACAGAACTAGAAGTGCCTTGGAAAGGCTTCGCCGGTTTCTCTGATGCTGGCGCCAAAGTGTCGCATAGCCGTTTCCGAAGTGCAGTTAATCTATTTGCTGCCAAATTACCGGCTTTCGGTTTAAGGGCCGGATGCAGGGGCGACTCAACATTGATTCGTTTGCTCGTGGTAGCCTCATCTTCCCCTTCATGTTGTCTTTTGGCTGCTCTTCTTTCGTTGTTTCTGCGAGGCATTTTAAAGAGGCTGATGTCTAAACAGGCAATTACCTAACGATGTTCACGGCAACTCGGTTGTAAAACGGTTTAGAGACGAAAATAAATAATTTGAGCACATGAAATTGACATTTTTAGAAAATGGCAAAGTGAGGTTAATCCACAAAATATCCCCCCTGGGGGTATGTTCTGTGGGTTAATCATCGGATATTTAATTTCAGAGAAGAGCAGGCTTGTGTTGGTAGATGGCGCTGGGGGCGATTGTGCGTGCTCTGTGCCCGCTGTACAGTGCGTACTTGAAAAAATATTAATAAAATAAAACTGCTACTTTTTTCCTAGCGGGGTTTGAGCACAAAATTTGCTATTGAATTCTCTATCCAGTGGTGTAGAAATGAGGGCGCTGGCTCGCTTTGTGGCTGAGATATGAGCAAAAGAGTGGCGACATGTTCGGAAACGGTGGGCTTATTTTGTACCTGAATGTTTCTCTTTTCGTAGAACCGTAAGTATTTCTTAACTCAAGTTTCACTTCGTGAATGGGAATTTTAATTCTCTATCAACTGGTGGTTCAACGAGCCCCGTAGCTTAAATGGTTCTTAAGTGATGAGCAAAAACGTGTCGTCATGTTTGCAAACGATGGCTTTATAACGGGCCGAAATGTTTCGCTATTTGTGTCAAAACCGCTACTATTTCCTAACTCAAGTTTTTCTTAGTGAATGAAAATTTTAATTCTCTATCAAGAGGTTGAAAAATGTGTGCTTGGGCTGAAACTGTTCTTGAGTTATGAGCAAAAAGGTGGCGTCATGTTCGGACACGATAATATTCTCTTAGACCTGTATGTTTCGCTTTTTGAAGGAAAACGCTATTTTGTAATAAAAATTTTAGTCGCTGAATGAGATTTTTAATTATTTATTTATCTGTAGAGAAACTAGCACCGGTAGTCAAATGGTTCTTGTCGCGATTAGCAAAAAGGTGGCGTTATGTTTGAAGACTTTGAACCTGATTTTTTAGTTTTTGCGGAAAATCCGCTTTTATCTGGAACTCAACTTTCACTTTGTAAATGTGATTTTTAATTCTCTACCTACTGGTAGGAACTGTAAGGCTGTAATAATAATAAGTAACGCTAATAGACATTTTCGACACATTTTAAGCTTTTTTTGAACGTTCTCGATCTTTATCCGACGATTTCTTCCTTATTATTAACTCAAACACTTTATAAATGCATATTTGTGACCTTCTTGCGTCGAAAGGAACCAATTCAGCTCAAAAAACACGCATGTAAAATTTTGATTTTTGGTTGAAATTTTCCCAAGGGTGGTGGTCGATGTTTTAAAAAAATTTATTTTTTTTTTAAATGTCCTAAATTTTACATCATTTTCAGCTCACGGAAGCGAAAAATGCATCGAACTCATTGAAAAACTTGGTAGAAGTTTCAGATCCGAAATAATAGACATTTTCGGCACATTTTAAGCGGTTTTTCAGCGTTTACGATCTTCAGTCGACGATTTATTCCTTATTATTGATGCAAACACTTTAAAATGCATATTTGTGACATTCTTGCGTCGAAAGGAATCGATTGAGCTCAAAAACCCTGCATCTGAAATTTTGATTTTTTGCCGAAACTTTTCAAAGGGTAGAGGCCGATTTTTTGAAAAATGAAAATTTTCTTAAAATGTCTTAAATTTTACATCATTTTCAGCTCACGGAAGCGAAGAATGCATCGAACTCATTGAAAAACTTGGTAGAAGTTTCAGATCCGAAATAATAGACATTTTCGGCACATTTTAGGCGTTTTTTGAGCGTTCACGATCTTCAGCCGACGATTTCTTCCTTATTATTGACCCAAACACTTTACAAATGCATATTTGTGACCTTCTTGCGTCGAAGGGAACTGATTGAGCTCAAAAAACCTGCATGTAAAATTTTGATTTTTGGTCGAAATGTTTCCAAGGTTGAGAGCCGATTTTTTGAAAAAATTATAATTACATTTGGTGCAAAGATATGCGTAAAAAATGGGGAATTCGACACTTAAGAAGTCCACCAACACCAGTGGAACTTCATGTTCCCCCAAAATCCCCTCACTCTATTGAAGAGTGGCGCAATAAAAGAAAACAGTCTAGAATTAGCTATATTTGGTTAATTCAGTATTGAGGAACATGTGGTGTGACAATAAAGATCAACTCAGCAGGGTTTAACTAAAACGACTGTAAAACCTTAAGCTTAAGTAGTGTTCCAATCAGGAGCTCTTCTACGCTCTTCTAGTGCTTTACAAGCATCCAGTCCAGAGGACCTAGAAGGTGTGGGCGTTCCTGCACACTCCACAGCCCAAAGCGAATTCTTCACCTGTAGCTGGATGTTTAACGTGAAGAGGACATTCATCGCCCTCAAGCTGAGTGGCTCTCGGCCCTGAAAATTGAGAAAAAACCCCTACATTTTCATCCTGGCCTGCAAGACTAAAAAAGTACCGGCAGGACAAACAGGCAGCTCTCCTTTGGATAGAATGGTGACCCGTTGAAAGTCGTCGTGACATGGATTGCAAAAGTGCGTGGTACCAAAGCAGAAGAAAACGGCCACTGAACAACAATAGCGGCACTTGTACTCCAGAAAATCGGCCCCATGTTTGGGGCACATCTGAGCCCTAGCCACATCGCTACATGCCCCACATACCAGTTCAGCAGGATCGTACGAATCGCCTGCATCTGCATCACAACGCGCTTCCCCTCCATAGTAAGCCTACAAATTATCACCGATGCACGCAACTATGCAGTATGCATGTACTCATTCACCTTATTGCATTTGAAGCACACATAGTAGGCGTATCTGTCCATGGCGTAGGAGGCCGGATCGTTGTAGAATCGAGCTCCTGGTGTCTGCACCGCCTCAACAGTGTGCAGACCTTCGTATTCCAAGCGCATTAAGGCTTTCCGGCGCACGTCCTTGTAGAGATCTTTAATCGGCTCTAGAAGCTCCTCCAAGGTCGGGTGGTTGATATCGAGCTTCAGGATTAAAGTACATGGTAAACAATGGCGTTTTTTTATACCGGCTTCTACTTTGTATTGGAAAAAGTAGAACCGGGAAATTTGCAAAAGTACTCGATTTTTCGATAAAGGGATTAACGCGCATTGGAATATTTCGAATGATTGGCGCTTCCACTTGAATGGAAAATGTCAGGAAGTATCAGCTATTGCTTATTAACGATCGAAGTGTCGATATTAATAAGTAGGCAATTGATATAGTGGAGGCGATTTTCCTGCTGGAATTTATTTAACATTGGGCCTACCTTCCTTGATCTACGATTCCTACTATGATCAGTAAAAGACTCATTTTTTATTCAATTTTCCACCCATCTTTTACGTGAGCTTAATGAAAAAGCCACCATTCGGGGGGTGATACCAAATACACTGCTGTCAAACTTCTAATTTAGTTTTTGGCAAATATCTCACTTCCCTCTATGTATTTCCAATCCTTAATATTTTGTCTGTACCCGCTGTATACTTCCAGACAGCACCACCAAAGCGAATGTTGAATCGCCCTGTATAAAAAGTGAAAACGACCAATTTGTTCTTACCTTGCATATGGGGCAGAGGGAGAAGGAGAATGTAATTCGTGGTCCAGCCCATCGTTTCATCAAAACCGCCTTGCAGCAGTGCAAGTGAAATACATGCCCACATTGTAACTGAAAAAAAACTTTAACTAGTAACTCCTAAACATTGAGGAAAGGATTTCATTGGGTTAATAGGGACTCCTCCCTTTGCTTCTGCTCGCTAGTTAAAACTCCCTATAGCTTAGGTCAGGTGATCGAGGTGGCCTATTTTTGCTCCACCTCATGCAATTGATCATTTTTCAACCATTTCATGTAATATTCGACTGAGTGAACACGAGCTTCTTCATGTATGGCCATAAAGTCGGGCCTTATAGAACTGACTATTTTTCCTTAACGATTCCTATACCGATTTGAAGCAGTTTCCGAAATATTAAATTAGTAACTTTTTTCTCAAAACTAAATTAGTGATCTTCCGCCTATAGATAAAACTATTTTTAAATTTTGTAATATTTAAAAACATATTTTTTCAATGGGGCACCCGGTATATTAGTCAATGTTCAGGGCTACCAAATTCCCTTTCAAATGATATGTCATGTTCCTATACTTAAAACGTCAAATTTCCCACAAAATGCATTTGACGTATTTGTCGAAGACAGTCAACAGATGTCATAATGGTTACAGGCGTTGAAATACGTCAAACCAGACAGGCAGCAAAGTTTCAGACAGAGTTTGTGCTCTCATATAATAATAAGATGGAGAGAAACATTAATTTAAGCAAAGTTGTTTTTCTTCGCTTATTGGCAATTGTCAACGGGTTTGACGCATTGCATAACCGCAATCTCTTATGACATTTTATGGCTGTTTTCGACAAATACGTCAAAATAAGCGCACGGTCGCAAACATTTTCATTTTCTTGAGGAAATTTGACATTTTAGGTATTGGAGACATTTCATAAGGAAATTAATTTCCTTTCCGAACATGGACTGATATACACGGTGTTCTTGAAAAAATAGTTTTAATTTGTAACTGGATGATTCATTTCAAGCCTGCAAAATCCAAAACAATTGACTGCATCTGAAGCTCAAGCTCAAGAATTCCCTAATGGGGGCCAAAAATTTATTTTTTTTGTATCAAACTCGCGTTTCCTAGAACTATGTTTTGATAAAAAAAATATTCAAATTTGAGAAACCGCGAGAAAACAGGTAGATGAATCGATAAGGCCTTTTTAAAGGTTCAAGAATATACCGGGTGTCCCATTTAAAATTCCGTGGTTGTTAGTGAGTTTTTATAAAAGCGCCAATGCCGCACTGCTGAAATTATCATGGGTCAATAGAGCTCATCCGATTACTTTATGGAACAAATGTTCCGAAAAATCGTGCTTTGCGTTCTCCATAGACGTGAATCACCCTGTATATTCTGTGTGGTCACAAATGCTTCTCTTTGGAGCAAAATAGCGAATATTCGAGAAAAATAAGCGAATGAAATCACTTAATGATAAAGCTAGAGGTTTTATGTTGCTCTACAGTCTAATTCTTACAGTTTTGGGGACATTTATCTCAACATTTGGAACGTCGTCAGTGCAAGAAACTGTACAAACAGAAGAAACAATAAAATCAGCTTGCGTTAATGATTTTTTCGCCAATAACTCCCAAACGCTGGCAGTTGCAAAGAAACTACTAGAGAGAAGAAAGTTTCAAAATTCGGACAGTTTTTGAAAAATCTATTGCGAAACTTCGAACGTAGTTAGTGCAACAAACTGGATTCATTTCCATGTTTTGCAAACTAAAATCACCTTGCGTTAATGAATTATTTTGCAAATAACTCGCAAACGGTGACAGTTGCGAAGAAACTACTTTCAAAATTGAGTGCAGAAATAAAAAAGTGGTAAACTTTAGTGGCGCACCATGAAAAAGTTCTGGCAGTAAAAGGGGGCAGGACCCCTCAAAATCGATCGCTTCTCCTCTCGCCATTTAAAGCCCGAACCACTCTGTATATCTTAAAGATGAACGCCTCAGGTTTACTCGAAGACCATCCAGACTTTGATCTGCAAGCTCATTGGAGCTAAAACTCGTCTACTTCCAGCATGGTGGCAAAAACTAATACTTTCGACTACACTATCAACCATTCAATTCGTGGTAAAACCCAACTGTCGAAAATCAATGAATAAAACAGATTACAAATAATGTCGAATATCAATGATAAAGCATCTCAATGATATAAATAGTCGACCGTTCAAGGCACGATTTAAGTACCATCTGATCGTATTAAAAGAGTTCAGGTTCGGGGTTTCGACATGAACAGAACGCTCTTTGGAATCGCCCTTCTAGGCCTGTGCATTTGCCTATCTATTGCCGATGAACCAGGTAAGATGAGCCAAACGAACTGAGTTTTCCAATCCAAATGAAAAATAGATGTTCCAGCGTGTCCGGAAAATGACGATGGACAAGCGGAATTTCTAGAAGATCCGGAGGATTGCAACTCTTACTATGAGTGCAGTAACGGACGTGCCATTCATTTTTCTTGTCCACCCGGAACGTACTATGATGGGAATAAAAAGTGCCAGTGGCCGGAGAATGTGGACTGTGGAACCCGACCAACCACCCTTGAACCACCTACAACTGAACCTTCCACAGATCCACCGACGACGGATCTTCCTAAACCTGGCCCGGTCTTGGTCCGGTAGATGATAGTGAAAAACCGACTGGAATAATGCGAGATCTTTGTCTACCTAATAGAAAATATATGTACTAAACCCAAACCTCTTTTCTGGTTTTTTTATGGCCATTAGGTAAGAACCGAATAAAGATAACACCTTCAAGCACGTAAACAACGGCCACTTAACGGTGCCATTCTGCTGAATCCATGCGAATTTCCAGAACGATCCGATGACCTCAAACTCAAGATAACGGCCATACTCACGTATATAAGGCTGCGCTTAAAAAGTATGCAACAGTACTAAAAAACCCAGTTTAGCAACAATGAAGGCAATCAAGCGCCTTTTTTTCATATTAACTTTGGTGGCATTTGCCTGGACCTTAAGTGCTGCCGTTCCAGGTAAAACCGACCAACGTTTCCCACCAAACATTTCAAGTGTCTTGGACTTTTTGCAGAATGTGCAACTGAGGATGAAGACGATGTAAAAATCTACGAAGACCCGGACAACTGTGCTGCTTTCTACGAATGCTCACATGGAGTCGCTTATCTATTCGAGTGTTCAGTTGGGCTCTATTTCAATGTGGAGCTGCAAGTATGCGATTTTTCCAATGATGTGGACTGTGGAACCAGACCCATACTACCAACGACGAAGTCTGTAAATTAATCTGCTTTGTAAATGGCCAATAAAATCTGCGGAGGATGAATCAAGCGACTTTGATATTCCAGATCATGCATCTTCCCGTTAGAATCCCACTTTAGTCCCTGCAGATTCACCAGGTGGAGTTAAGCAGAGAATAAAACGGATCTCTGAGTGGCAATCAACAACATTTTGGTCGAAATTTAACTGTTTATGCTGGCGTTGGTTTCATCACTGTGTAAACAGTTGTGCATCAAGTGACTCTTCAATATCTGTCCGCTTGTATGCTTATCGCTTTAGACTCGATCAAATTCCATCTTAATATCGTTCGCTATCTGCGAAATATTAAGTACAAGTGGAAGTGATTCGTAATGTTGCAAGAGCTCAGAGAAGGTGTTTCATACTCTTCGTCTCTTCGTTTCAATGTCCCTTGCGCTTATGAGTCAAAGCTCTTTTATTACGTGCACTTTTATCCCCCTGATGGTGTTCAGCAGTTCTCCACCATTCCCTGTTCTGATGTGCGAATAATCCAACTTTTGCATCTGGATGGCTCCACTGGGAAACTTGCCATCTGAGCCCAGTTCTGAGCCAATTTCTCATTCCTGTTGGGTTTTAAGAAGTAGTGAAACTCACCTGAATAGCTGGGGCACATGATAGGGCTTCAGTAAAGCAGATCATACACATGTCATCAGAGTCTTGGCGCAAAGAGGCGTTGTTTGAGCACCCGTGCAGACAAGGAAGACATTGAGTTTCTCCAAAGGTTCCCCCGCACATGTGGCCGCAACTTAGGAGTTTCGTACAGGCGTTCTTTCCATATTCCTGAAAATCCAACATTAGCCGAAGGAATTATTATTTAATTAGTAAGTCCGCTCTCCACATTTGGAGGGTTTGGGCAACGAATTTTCACGTCTGAAGACTTAAAACAGGCTTTTGAATGAAGGAAGATGAAAGGAACAAAGGAGACATTGCTGGTGCAAAAGAGTTCGAAGATAGAACACCTCAAAAGGAAATAGGTCTAAGTCAGTGAATTTTTATGAGTTAACGCAGTGTTGCTTAAATGTGCAAGTGTTCCAACCCAACGCACCGGCGCAGCAACTCAGTACCGTGGCTGGGAAAATGTTGATGACCTTTTGTTACTTTTTTTTACAAACTTCTTTTTGAGTGTTTCGCCTCTCATATAATAATAAGATGGAGAGAAAGATTAATTTAAGCAAAGTTGTTTTCCTTCGCTTATTGGCAAATTGTCAACGGGTTTGACGCATTGCATAACCGCAATCTCTTATGACATTTTATGGCTGTTTTCGACAAATACGTCAACATAAGCGCACGGTTGCAAACATTTTAATTTTCTTGAGGAAATTTGACATTTTAGGTATTGGAGACATTTCATAAGGAAATTAATGTCTTAAAACAGGCTTTTGAAAGAAGGAAGATGAAAGGAACAAAGAAAACATTGCTGGTGCAAAAGAGTTCGAAGATAGAACACCTCAAAAGGAAATAGGAACAATGCGGTTACAAGAAAGTACGTCTAACTCAGTGAATTTTTATGAGTTAACGCAGTGCTGCTCAAAGGTGCAAGTGTTTCAACCCAACGCACCGGCGCAACAACTCAGTACCGTTGTTGGGAAAATGTTGATGACCTTTTTATACTTTTTTTTACAAATTTCTTTTTGGGTATTTCGCCTCTCATATAATAATAAGATGGAGAGAAATTGTAATTTAAGCAAAGTTGTTTTCCTTCGCTTATTGGCAAATTGTCAACGGGTTTGACGCATTGCATAACCGCAATCTCTTATGACATTTTATGGCTGTTTTCGACAAATACGTCAACATAAGCGCACGGTTGCAAACATTTTCATTTTCTTGAGGAAATTTGACATTTTAGGTATTGGAGACATTTCATAAGGAAATTAATGGCTTAAACAGGCTTTTGAAAGAAGGAAGATGAAAGGAACAAAGAAGACATTGCTGGTGCAAAAGAGTTCGAAGATAGAACAGCTCAAAAGGAAATAGGAACAATGCGGTTACAAGAAAGTAGGTCTAACTCAGTGAATTTTTATGAGTTAACGCAGTGCTGCTTAAAGGTGCAAGTATTCCAACCCAACGCACCGGCTCAGCAACTCAATACCGTTGCTGGGAAAATGTTGATGACCTTTTTTTACTTTTTTTTACAAACTTCTTTTTGGGGATTTCGCCTCAAAAATTTTTGTTTTTTCGTCTGTGTATTAATTAATAATTATTAGAGCGAATTTTCATATACTGTATTATCCTACTATTGTTACACAATTTATTAACATACTCTTTTTTAGGTTCATTTAGGTTCTTTTGAT